GGTTAATTACAACCAAAGTAAATAACCTTGTATCATGTGCTAACCTACATATTAGAGGGCAAGGATGGGCAGCAGATATTACACTGGACTGGAGACAGAAAATATATTTTTTGTGTATTCTTATATTGCATTAGGGTTAGCAATGCTCTTAAACCAGTCTCTCTCAACCTATTTACCCCAGAGGAATCCTTAAAGCGGAACTCCACCCAAAAGGGAAGTTCTGCTTGTCGGCATCCTCCCCCCTTCCACTGTCACATTTGGCACTTTTGGGGGGGGTGACAGGTAGCTGGTTTTGACACTTCCGGCTGAGTTTTCAGCAGTGATCTCCAGACCCTCCTCCTCCCCCCTGCAGTCTTCTGGGTCACATCACAAGTCCCAGAAGACTATGGGACTAATCACAAAGACCAGCACTGCTCGCGCATGTGCAGTAGGAAATTATATTATAAAACGTATGAGTAGCCTACTAACTCTCTATTAACCTTAGGAATGCAGTATTACCATGAATTCAAAGCAACCAGAAGATATATGGTTGCCAGACTTCTACAGGTCTGAAACTATGTAGGCACCATCACATAGGAGGTAAATCAGCCATAGTTTAAAGTAACCCCTAGCAGCTTCTGGAGGAACCCCATGGTTCCATGAAACCCTGGCTGAGAATGGTCATCTTAGATGGTTTAGAATTCAACTCCAATAATATATATATATAAAAAAAAAAAAAAAAGACAGCCGGAGGCTAAATTCTAAATACAAAGTCACACACATAGACAAAGTCACATTAAATGGCTAAACATATGGCGCCTTATAACTTAAATGACATTCATTTTCATATACAAGAATTACATTTAATTAAACTGGCAAATCACCATCTTATCTGAGCAGCCTTGACAGTAATGAAGTATAGAAGAGATACAGGAGTTATTTCTGGAAGAAAATCAATATTCCACAAACACTTTAGTATATAATTATGAACAGCATTGCTGGCTGGCTCTCCCTTGAGTAACACTGTAAAAAAAACAACCATGGTTGCTATGAAAGGCCTGGCATCTTGTACATACAGGTACTTTCCTTGCACATGGTATACATTTGTTTTAACTGCACTCATTGTTCAGTGAATAAAGTGCAAGATCCATTACAGAGTGATGAACTGGCATGAAGCAACTTCAAATCAGGAACAAGAGAGCTCCCACTGCTCTTGTGGCCTTGCAGTTGATCTAACATAACCAGAGACTTGCTGCTCCACAGTGGTCTAAGTAGCCCCCAGTTTACTAAAGTAGAAAGCAGAGGGAAAGAAGCACAAAGTTTCAGAGTGTAGCAGATTTTTTCTCTTTTTTGGGTGCTGGTCAATCCCACTTTTTGTGGATCCTCCATTGTTGAGATTTTCCCTCCAAATTATATAACAGTAGTGACAGGTTGTGTTTGATTTTTTTTAAAAAATATGTCAATGTCACTTGCTGAATTAGCAATGCTTAATTCACATTTTCATTGAAGTTTGAGGAAACCCTGACAATGAACTACTCTTATTTGCTCCCTTCTTCTTTGTTAAAAATATAATTTGAAAGATGTGTTATATCTGTTCAAGAAGTGCTAAAAATAGCAGTTGAATGTCAGAAATGTAAAGCTTTCCTTTGTTAATCTCAAGGAAAATAATTAGCCCTCCCCATTCAATTCTTTAACTACAAGACTCAACTCCCCAAAATTGTTATGTTGTCAGCCCACAAAAAAAATGAGGAACTGGATACATTTTGGTAGAGCAACAGGTATTTTTCTGTATAAAGGGATTAAACATGGGATAAATCTACAAGTACTGAAGAGATATACTGCTTTTTTTTGCCTTGACATACACTTTAAAATTTTCTGGCAGCAGCTGAGGTTTTTTTTTTCTCAATTCATTAAAGCTCACGAGATTCAGTTATCCAAAAGAAAACTGACAAACAATTTTTATTATTTCCCAGATTTAAGTGACCAAACAACTGAAATGCATGAATATTAAAGTGTATGTTACCCTAAATATTTTTGTTTCTATACGTGTGTTCACATATATGTATTTTATAAATCATAGACTGTCATTTTCATGTACTTCTTTCATCTGAAGTATCTGGTTAATCTTGTCAGTCACCTTTCTTTGTTGTTCTAAACTGACCACACATGGCACTGACGCTGATCTGTGCATGCACGGTCAGCTTGCATCATTTGGCCGGCTATTCAGAGGTACATGACACTGCATACACACAGCATGCCTGTTTTTGGGTAGTCTGTTCAGCCACCATCCCAATCACAGCCTGCCTCTTGAACACATCCCCACCTCACGTGCAGCCTGGATCTTGCCTCAGGCTGAACAGGCTATGAAATAAAGGCACACTGTGGGGTTTATTTAATAAAGCTGGAGAGTGCAAAATGAGGCTCACTTCTGCACAGAAAGCAATCAACTTCCAGGTTGTATTGCCAAATTAAACAAGCTGAGGTTAGAAGCTGATTGGCTGCCATGCACAGCTGCGCCAGTTTAAGTGAATCTACCCCTATGTGTCTAGTGTCCTGTAACGCCATCCCCTACAATCAGGATAAAGCGGTGCTTGGTCACGACAGAACTTTTTAATGCCGTAAAAAAAAAAAAAAAAAAGTGAGAGAGATAATTTCTGAATCTAAGCAAAAGCAGTTGTGGTGCCTGCATAGTTATAAATAAAGGGTCTATAACATTGTATGTTCACAACTCCATACGTTAAATTACTACAATGACAGTAAAAATACTTTTTTTCAATTGCCACTCCAATTTTGATTGATCAAGAAAAAAAAAAAAAGGGAATTACTGAAAACATTGGTGGCAGAATCCACTTTGGGTTGACTTTAACTGTAACTAAATATTGCTCTTCTCTACCGCACGTTTTAACAAAAGCATATTTCCTACACCCCACTACAATGCCTGTAGATATCTTGTTTACTTGAATTGCTTCACAGTTTGTTTTTTTTTTTTTTAAAGCAGTAAGTCAAAAATCAATATTACTTAACACTGTCAACTATCAGAGAATGCAAATTAGAACAAATGTAGCACAATGCAGTAAAAATGCCCAATGGTATAAGCAGTATAAAAGCAAGGCACACAGTCAAATTGTCACCACTTTTTCTTAAAGGCCAACTCCAACCAACTTGTATTTCAGTTTTGCAGTTTTTGGGAAGTTGACATAATCTGGTGGAATGCTCCCCAATGGATAACCCATAAAGAAAAAAACAAACATATTTCTTAGCCTGGTATAAGGAGCCAGGAAGTAAACCAACCTGTTAGGGCCAGTTAGCCTTTAAATTCCGCTGTGGAAACAAATTCTGTGGCTTTGACACCAGTGAAGCCTATGTAAAATGTATACAACACAGGCACATGTAATCTACAACAAAAGTCACACTGTAATCCAACACCTAAACCAGACTATATATGAAACCTCTTCTGCATTATCAACTTATGTCCCATTGCAGAACTAAACAACACAGAACAGCAGCAGATGGCATAGTAGTAGGCATTGTTGTGTGAAAGGCAGTATTTTTATGGACGATCCAGTCAAAGTACATTGTGGGTTCTCTTATCCTGTCCATATTGGGAAGATTTCTGATGATCAAAGCCATACCCTTGCATTGGTCACAGTACCTTGTAATCAAACCTTCATTTTGGTTCTCAATGCGTGCAATCGTCAGGCCAACGTTTCATGGCCAAAATAAATTAAACAATATACAATCATTAAAAGAGAATTGTCCCTCATTTCTTCATAGACTTGCATTTCATTTATATGCCCAGTAAAGAAGCACATGCTGCATCCTAGCAATACTGAGCATGCAAGATCATTTACAGCCATTATGACACAAGTAAAGTTATAGGGTCACATTTGATGGAACAGAGGTCCCTTTATATCCACAATGTAGAAACTAATATTACCCTACGGAATAAAATCATATTGATTTGCTACAGATAAGAATTACGATTGGTCTGCTTTTTCACACTCTGCTCATGAAATCAAACACTGGGAGAATGAGAAGAGAGAATAATGAATGTTTAGGTGTAAAATGTCTTGCTTAGGAATTGTTATAGTAGCATTGTAGTGTCCTCCAATGAGTCGCTTATAAAAAAAATAGTGGGACCCACATCCTGTTCTGTTTACACCAATTCCAGCAGCATTAAATCATAATTTCTAAAGGAGTAGGCTTCAGTAAAGTTTTAGAAAACATGTGCATAAGCTATTGCACTGTGATTTTGGTAAAAGAAGGAAACTTTAGAATCCCTTCAGAAATGTATGTTTCTTTGCTGACTTCTACCAAGTAACAGGTCCTATGTGATAGGCCAAATAAAAACAGTGATAGTTATTTCTAGATTAGTGATATTAAAAAGGCAAATCGAAAAGAGTTACTTAAAAAAAAAAAGTTAATGAGGGAAGAGAAGGTCATCTTTGGTAATAAGTGTTATGGTTGTAATGATGTTACATAACTCATTGCTCTGTAATGCAGCATTGGTAAAGGTTGCTATAGCTGCTAGATGTGGCACTTTGCAAGCCTACTCATGCCACGCTGGTTTCAAAGGGAAATACATTCAGTAGAAGTACAATGTGCAAAAGGCACCAGAACATCAGTCTGCAAAGTTATGCCTATTGATTTCAAGGTCCTGCTTGACAGGCACAACCATTAATCAGAACAAGAACACATCTTTCTTAGATGAAAAGGAAGAAGAATGGTATGTTCCGGGGAGAAGGTCAGTAACTTCCACTGTAAACTGAATTCAATGTATCTGAGGCTAAAGGAATGTATGATGTTACAGACATCAGAATGACATCAATCAAGGCATGATGCTGAAACGCTGGTAATTGTCTATATTAAGAGATGGTTTGTCATGAAAAAGGAAAGATGAATCCTTTACAAAAGCTGTAGTCACTGACTACAGACTGTTTCCAGAACTGGTACAAAAAACATTCAGTAACAAATTGAGGACTTTAGTCTCTGACAATGTAAGCTTTTGCAGTTTGTCCAGTTTACTCATCAAGATGGCAGGTCCAAGACCGTGGCTTCAAGTAGTCCAAAAACGCAGGCTGGAAAACAAAGATTTATTTTTTTTTAGAAAGAATGTGCAGTGCACTTTCATTATGTTAAGTCTTTACCAATGCCAACCTAGATTCCCTTAACAATTAAAATAGAAAAACCTCTTTAACTGGCAAAAATACAACAAGGACAATGTGCTAAGTAGCTTTATTCACCGGTCACACCGCTGCAATTTAAAATTGCGCTATTTGTGTGCAATTTCAGAGTGATTTCAGATGTGATTTCTGAAGACTTTATTGCAACTTGTGAAGATTTTCAATGGTTTCTAGCAATTTGCAGTGCGATTTTCATTATATTCTATGTATGTGAAATTGCAACAAACCTGGAGAAAAAGTAATGCAAGAACTACTTTAGAGGGCGCGCTGCAGCAAATCGCACATGTTAAGACACTGACATTCACATTCATTAGATGCGATTTCAATTTGCAAATCGCACCGGTATGACTGGGCACTTAGTTCTCGTTCACAACTGTATGATTTGCGAAGTTTGGTACTTGCACTGCTCGTTGTAAAAAATATACTGTTTTATATTTTAATGAATACAGAATTGTGTGATATTTGTGTCTTCCCAAATCTACCCAAAACCCGGAGACTGTGCATGTAACGAGACCAAAATGGTTACAAAAAAAAAAAAAAAAGGGGTGAGGGTCACTCATAAAGGGGGTCAGGAGTTGGAGTTTAAAAAGTGTATTTTTAGTCTTTTATTTCATCTTGCATTCTCGCTAGCAGTTTTGTCTGGCTGAGCACATAATTGATCATGATAAATACATTTATTCAGCATATGCATAGATTCATGGGATAAGTTTATGGTGTCTGCTTAAGTATTCTTTTTTATGTACTATTTCCTCTTCATTTCATCTGGCGCTTCAGCGAGTAAAACACTTCCTGTCTGAGGCTAGGTTCCCATCTGTGCGGGTGGTGCCGCCACGGATCCGCACGAAGATCCGTGCAGTCGCATCACCCGCACAGAAGAATGCGGACCCACGGGTGGCTGCCATTAGTTCTAATGGCACGCTGCCTGCACTGGAAAACGCAACCGTACTGGGAACCGAGGTTCCCGTGCAGGCTGCATTTTCAGAAGAAGTGCAGGGACTTCTTCCCTGCGTGTCGTGGGCACGGGAGTCCAAATAACAGACTTACTGGATGGATCACCAGGTGAAAAAATAAAGAAAAAAAGAAAACTAATGCAGTCACAACATTTAGAAATTGGTGAGCTGCAGTTTATTACATTTTTGTTAGCCTTAAAGCTGGTCTAAAACTTCCTTTTCTTAAATGGTCCCTCACCAGAGCCAGCATCTTTTGCGGAGTGCCAGTCTTTGGCAGTCTTCATTAGCCAGTGTAGGATGGCTTCACAGTCATACAGTCATTTCAGCATGTAGCCGTTGTAATGAAATGTAAACTCAGCTGTGTTTGTGCAGCTCCCTGTACATCCCAAAGAAGACTGCCAGCAGACTTTTATTGCAGAAGAGAGATTGTATGTGTCTATTCTGCAATAACGAGCCTGCCTGCTCACAGTTTTCTGACAGCAGGACTTTAGTTCAGCTTTAATTAGTCTTGCAGCTCATTTTCATAGGGTCAGGCCAGACCTACAGAGTTACAGCCAGTAAAGTGCAGTTAGTGCTAGTCTGCAGTGCTACAAAGTAGGAAGCAGAGCCTCCATATGAAACTAACCAGGCCTGCCTCATCTACATTTATATTAGACTTTACACTGAAAAAGTCTTTAGAATATCTTCACTTATTGAAAAGGCTATTAGCATTGCACTGATATTATAATTATAATTGATGATAATATGATTCTCCAAGTCTTCTTTTGCTCTGCTTTATGATATATACCTGTCCACACTTGCATGACTGCGCCCATTAAGAAAATACACAATGGGCCAAGAATTTTTTTATTGGATGGACCAATACAGCTACTTATATACACTCACATTGCTGATGGGGCAGTGTTTCTGTGCATACCACTCCTGGGAATAAAGGCAAAGTAGAACACCCTGACCCAAGAACAGAGATGTCCACATGACCACATTCCAGATAGGCCCTTTCCGACGGTCGTGAAGGATGAAGTTAAAAATCACTGCAATTAAAGAAACAGGATGATTTAACAAAGTATACTGCACCTCAGAGGTAACTGTGAAAAAAGTAGAATCAAATAAAGAAACATTTTAATTTTACCAGACTGATTCTTTTGTAGGACAATTCTTTTTAATGTTTAGTTTCCTATTCCTGCATTGTGCAGCCACTTAATGATTCAAGTGACAATTGTATTGTTTTTATAAGAATGTTCTGTTGTCCATATTTGCAATGCCAAGGTAAGGGCATGCCATAAATGCAGAACTAAATCCTCTTATCCTTTTAAGCCAAGGAAGCTGTTTTAGCCTCTGTTTGATCTGCAACTGCCATGGTGCTGCACATGTAAACAGTTATGACACAGCCATATGATGGTTTGACAGTCAAGCTGGGAGAACAAGCAACAGTTGACATGACGGTTAGCATTCCTGACATGCCAGGAATGTAACGTTTTTTGAAACTCAGGAAACTGACTTAACATGTAGCTATATATAGCCTATTAACACTTGCACAAGGAGAAAAACTGATTTACAAATCATTAGTTCTCCAACAGGTGACACCTGTATAAATGAATATCACAAGCGTTGCACATGTAAAAAGCACAGTGATGGGCATTACAAATGTGCACTGTACTCTGCTAGCTTCAGAAGTCCAACAGAGTGCAATAAAACAAGCACTTGTAAAAAATAAAAAAAACACTGGGAGGAGAGCCCAGCCATGTGACCTCCGATGGTTACATGACTGACTCTCTCCAAATCACGGAGCTCTCTCTGCTACATTAAGCAGACAAATCTCCAAGCAGCATTGTGGGTTCTACACCAAAGCCCACATTTTATAAATGGGCCCTATGGGAGTTTAGAAACCAGAGCGAAAAAAAAAAAAATTTACAAAACACCTGCCAATCAGAGGTAGGTCACCGAGACTCACCTATAACAACCATACATGCATTTTAGATGGCCATTTGTAGCTACAATCCCTGTCACTTTGTTTTTTTTACCTGTTCTTGTTTACATTGACCTTTACTGTTTCTAAATGTCTGAAGTCCGCTTCTTCTGTTTACGCAATAAGGCGTTCTGAAAACAAAAAGTTATTCTCAGGTCTCATTGCAGCAGATATTCCAAAAATGAGAGGATAAATAATCCTCATTTCAGGTTGGCAGGGGTCAATGCAACCCATTGTTCTTCACCCTCTGTCCATATCTGGAACCACTGGTGTATAGAGAAAAGATGGACAAAAAGCCTGCAACTGCTAGCCTAAAAATGGATATCATTAGTGCAAAACCACAGATTCTATAGAGTAGGGCAAGATAGTATAACCATACAGGTCTTGCATATTTAACAAGTGATACTTACTGCCAAAGCCCATAAACAGAATGAAAAGAACAGGATAGAAGAATCCAAAGCAGATCCCCAGTGCGTATTCATGAACCACAGCAGACACAGTAAACACAGACAACATGGCTGCAGCTTTAAATCTTCTGCCAAAGAACTTGAATCATAAAAGATAGAAAAACAGCAGCAATTAGGTTATACTGTTAGCAACGTTGTAAAATATGACATTCCATAAATGTAAGCCTATTTCTGAAATTCAGTAATAGAGATTCAAAAGAAAGAAAACAAAACCCTAGTAAGAAATGTATGAAGAAAGAAAAAATTATCCCAAGCAATACGAGTTCCATGTTCACTAGCCAATTTTCACTACAATATAATGATAACCAACCAGATTTTAAAATAAACCCTTTGATGATGCTAGTTGCTTGGTTTTTCTAGCAGCTTCAATGCTTAAATCAGAACTTCACAAAAAAAAAAGAAAAAAGAAAAAAAAAAAAAAAAAAAAAAAAAAAAAAAAAAGGGACATTCTGATCTTCTTTCCCACCCTCCTCTAACTTTTAGCGCATAATTTTTTGGGGGGTGAGAACCTGGTTTTGACAGGTACCAACTCCCACTTCCTCTTGGTCGCTGAGGCGATCCGAGCAGAAGTTCTGCTCTCACCACCCTGCCTGCATCCTTTTAAGACGTGTCATAGGTCCCAGAAGGCTGCAGGACCATTCACCAAGTGCAGCGCAGCTCACCCATGTGCAGTGGGCAGTCGGCTGTGAGACCTCAAAGAATCCAGCGCTGGAGACTGAAGACTGGTGAAGAAACCAGCTCAGTTATGCATGGTACTGGATCCTTGGGCAGGTGATTGTCTAATTAAAGTCTTCAGCTACAGTTTTTGTAGCTGCGGATTATTAATTTTGGCCAAATAGCCTGAAAAAACAGCTTTAATGAGCAACTGAAGTGGGGAAAAAAACATGCAGCAAGTGAACTATCTTGACCATTACACTTTTTCTGGGTCATGGACGCCAAAAGTTGTGAAGAGAGAAGATCAACTAAAAACAGCCAGACAACCAGCATTTTTACAATGAGACTTTAGCAATGCTTTCAATACTAGAAGAGAAAGAGGGAAATAAGCAGTAATAACATAGGTGGTAAAGAACAGAAGAGAAAGTGCTAGAAAGCTTGTAAGCAAATGTGCAAAGGGAGCTTTTGAGAGAAGTAAAAGTATATATAAAGCTAAATTTTGTTTTTTTTTGTTTCAATTTCTGAGAGAAAGTAAGGGTTAAAACTCCCTACACTTTTTTTTGCTTCCTGCATCATATTGGGGAGATTTCTTTTCACTTCCTTTTCTCTAGATACATTAGGAAGATGAAATCTCTCCAAAGAAAGAGGAAATCGAATCTCAAAAAGTTATCACTTGAACAGGTTGTCCCCATTGAAAGAATTACTCTTTATTCTTGTTCTGGTGACAACTGTAACATTCTAAATTCTACACCACTTTACGTTCCAGCAACAATTGTCACTTAAACTGTGAAGCTAATTTTCCCAATGGTTATGCAAACACCAATCAATCCTGACTTGGTTTCTAACCCTTACTGCTCTTTCCAAAACAGGGGTGGACTGACCATTTGGAAACACGGGCGCTGCCCGAGGGCCCTGGGTCAGTAGGGGGCCCCATGAGATGCCCCTGGTACCTTTTTAATAGGCTTTTTTGAGTTTGGGCAAGAACACAGGGGCCCCATGATCCCCTATTGCCCGGGGACCCCATGAGTTGTCAGTCTGCCCCTGCTCCAAAATGAAAGAAAAAAAAAAAAAAAAAGTGTTGGCTTTAGAAACACTTCCAGTGACCGATCACTATGTACTTTGCTTTTATTCCTCCATACAAATCATTTAAATGAATGGCAGACACATAGTAAACACATTTCAATAAACCACTTGGCTGATAAATGAAATTCTGTTTATTTGTTATACAAGTAGACTTGTTATACCTTTTGAATAACTCTGAAGTCAAAAACACACTATATTGGTAATCTACATTTACATTTGAACCAAGTGTTACAAAAAATGTAAAGATAAGATTTTTATACTTGCTGTAAAACCTGTTTATTGATTACCATTGAGGGACACAAGACTGTAGCAAGTTTTGGACCTGAAGGTAATACTGCCCCCTGTAGATGGCAGCATAACCTACATCATGTCCAAGACTTACTACAGTCCCATATCCTTCAACGGAAGATAAAAATGAGACTTTTTGGTGAAAAAGAGTAACATTGTTAATACAGTTGTGGCTTTTCTTAGGCAAATACTTGTGCTGCACACCAAATGTATCTGCATCATGTAGCCTTGGGATGTGTGATGCTTGTGAGACCTTTTTTTTCACTAATATGAAGAAGACATTATCTGTATATTAGAATAAAATGGGTTTCACAATTATTATTATTATACAGGATTTGTATAGCACCAACAGTTTTCTCAGCGCTTTACAATATAATGAGAGACAATACAGCAACAATACAGTTCAATACAAGAGGGAAAGGAGGGCCATGCTCCTTGGAGCTTACAATCTAGGAGATAATTGCACATCTCAAGATTACAGCGTTCTAGCTGCACTCAGCTCTGTATCCCACAATCAGTACGTGCATACCGGCTTTGAACATCAACACTAATGCAAACTAAGGCACATTTCCTAACCAAACAGAAGAGCTCCCTTTTAAAGGTCCAGTGGACACCACAACTGAACTAGGTGGTTTACTTCTTGGCAACAAATAAGCAGAAAAGAGGACACAGCTCTAAGCCCCAAAGCTGGCCATACACGGATTGATTTTTGGCTGATTGCTGCTGCATTGGACAAAATTAGAGCTGTGGGTGGCCTTCTCGGGAGTTGAACGCAGAAAAATCCAACCCTAAAACATTCAAAGTCACCAAGTATGTAAACTTCTTACCCAAAGAAAGTCCCGATAGGCATAATAATACAGCCAGTCATGGACAACCACGTTCCAGGTTCGGTAGTAGTTGGCAAACGAGGTTGAATTCCACCAGTCCTAAAGAAAAAAGGAGATATTTACAAATATATGGTTAAAAGGGTAAGCTTTTCCCTGCCAGGCCAAGCCATTTTTCCTCCTCAGATTGGCAGACCATTTTTAAAACTTAAAAGGCCCTTTTCGCATCTGGCTATTAGTAACCACGAATATAAAAATATATAATCCCCCTGCGCTCCACTGGTATGAACAAACACAACCCTAAATATATGAAAGCTGCTACCACCTATTCCCAATACCACAGGATGTATGACATAAAAAAAACAATATAGGTGAAGCGCTTCACATGAAAAACTAAATAAGTAAGTGCAATGATATAAAAAAATACATATAAAAAGTGACCACACTGTATTGAAAAGGTATTGATAACTAATGCTAAATAATCCCCCAAACAAATATATAAGTGACAAGTGCTGAAAGTGCAAAACAGGTCATGCGCTTGCTGACTAGATCGTGCCAAAAGGCAATAAATGCACAGTAAACATAATACACAATAACATTGCACACTCTAACTGAAAGTGGAAAGTGCTCAGTATGAGTATGAATATTGGTTAAAGTAAAATCCACAATAAAGTGCAAAACAGGTCATGCGTTTGCTGACTAAATCGTGCCAAAATACAATATATGCACAGTGAAATAATACACAATAACATAGCACACTCTAACTGAAAGTGACAGGTGCTCAGTAGGAGTATGAATAATGGTAAAAAATAAAATCCACAATAAAGTGCAATAACAAAGTGCTTGAAATTTCATGTGCAAACAAACACCATGATGTCAGTGCTTCAATTCTTCACTCCAAACATGATGCGTGTTAGCATGCTACACGTGTATATCGTAATCCAAAAATGGCTAAAGTGCCTCCTCACCTTAACCATGCGACCCCTAAGGGCCACAATGCTTTAGGTAATATAGCTCCACCAGACTGGGGATCTCTGTAATAATACTCCTGTAGTACCACTCGATCTCCTCTGCCAGGTCACTTATGCCCTCAGATGGCAATACCCCCGGGATAATCACAATGCCATAGAGAGGTAGACAAAGAGAGCCTCCATAGTGAAATGCCGTTTATTCCATATAGCAGATAAAAACAAGCCGAAAGAGAACACTCACAGTATAGCAGATCTCATACAGCTGGTCTCCCATGTGCTGTGGGTGTACTGCAAGGTGCTGGGTGTTCAAAGATGGCGTCTGCCGAAAGTGCTTAACCAGAAGTACGTCACTGCGCTCTACGCGTTACTCCACGATATCACGTGGCTTCATCAGGATCCTGATCAGGATCCAGCAAACGCATGACCTGTTTTGCACTTTATTGTGGATCTTACTTTTAACCTATATTCATACCCATACTGAGCACTTTCCACTTTCAGTTAGAGTGTGCAATGTTATTGTGTATTATGTTTACCATGCATTTATTGTATTTTGGCACGATCTAGTCAGCAAACGCATGACCTGTTTTGCACTTTCAGCACTTGGCACTTATATATTTTTTGGGGGGATTATTTAGCATTAGTTATCAATACCTTTCAATACAGTGTGGTCACTTTATATGTATTTTTATATCATTGCACCTACTTATTTAGTTTTTCATGTGAAGCGCTTCACCAGTATTGTTTTTTTATTAGTAACCACAGGCATAATACATGCGATTTTGCTCGCGATCCCAAAACGCACTGCAATAATGACAAAAAACACACCATGCCTGTTCAGGTGCCATTCATTTTCAATGGCATCTAACTGATGCAGTTTTGCCATGATTGTTGTGAGATAAATTACACAGCAAATCATGGCAAACAGCAATGCGTGAAGCTTGTTGCCCAAAAAGGAGCAAGAGTTTCTTTAGGGAGACAAGCTTTGCATGCTGCAGTTTGCCATGATTTATCACGTGAAAACAGTGGCAAAACGCACCATGTTTAGGTGTCATTGAAAATGAATGGCAACTGAACAGATGTGGTGCATTTTTTCATTATTGCACTGCAATTTAGGATCACGGGCAATATCGCTGCAATTCTGCCAGAGATCACAAAATGCCAGATGTGAACAAGGTCTAAATTGTAAAAGACCACCCCCCCCTTCCCAAACCATATTACTTTATAAAATCACAGAGCTTGTCAAATGTAAAAGATTCTGTGTAACAAACATAACATAGTTGCTATAACAATTTGGCCGCAAAACTGGAAATACATTTTAAATTGCGCCTTTTTGTAAAACAGTGAAAATAGAATGCAAAGCTGCAAATACCGATATAAAAAGTGCATGTATGGCCAAAATGTTTTTAAATACACTTTAGGCTAAAACCCTTAAGGCTGGCTTCACGATTTTGCATTGAGGTAATTCACAAACAGCAATGTTGTTAGTTGCAGTGTCATTCATTTTGAATGGCACCCCAAAAACCTTGAAAACGCATCTCAATTCATGTTAGTTTCAGCACACAACAATGCACAGATGGGATTCAGTTTCTTACATAGCCAGGGATAAGTACATACTAGAGTATTGTTTACTAATGCTCATGCTGTGCACTGGAAAAAAAAAAGCCATAAGGCGGCAAGAGGAAAGAGGTAACGGTATGCAAACAAAGCTGCAGCTCCCAGCTGGATGTGATCAGCAGCTTGTTAGACCTGGGCATCAAATGGCTGTAGGTTTTTAGTCATGGAAGCAGCAGAAATTTCCAGCCTAAGAAAATGCAGATAGTGTAAGGGTTACCGGAGCTGAAGTTCTGTTCCAACATAACCCCCTACATGTCTGCAGCAGTAAAGTGTTAAACCTTGTAGAAATACATAGGAAACAATAAGTACATATTCCATTTTAAAACTGACATGTCGTTAAATTCCAAAATAAAACTTAAATCTGAGGTAACAGAACTAAAAATGATAACTAAAATCCCCCTTACTCTGCCCTTTCTTTGTCATGACATTCAACTATATAAAAACACATTGGTGGAATTCTTAGTTCTGTGTCCCTTAGAGAAGAAAAAAAATGACTTAGAATCATAATTGGGTCATAAATACATTGCCAAAATTTACCTCCATTTGGATTATGTGCTTCATAAAATCCAAATTCAGCACCGCTACTTTTTTTAAACGTAATTGTTTTCTTTTTTTAAGCAGCTCTGGGTGTAATACTCATCAATCCAGAGCTGTCTCCCGCTACCTCTTCTTTTCCAAAGGATATCCTCAGTCTTCTAGGCTGAATAATACCCAGAGTAGCTCAACCCACAAGACTGAGGAAAGAAATGAAGGCCATCATTGTCACGTCCCCAGAGCATGGCACCCTGCACACTTATGCAAATCTGATGCCTCCCAGAACACATAGATTCACATGTCAAGTGAAAAAAAATTGCTTCCTATGAAGGCTGTTCACATAAGTGCAATTTTGGTGCAGTTAAAAAAAGGACCCTGTTCCAGTTTAGTGCAGAGTTCAGATGTGATTCTCACAGGCTATAGATCTTAAAATCTCTTCAAAGTAAAAATCACACAGCAAATAAATATTAGTGCGCTACACGGCACTCCACATAGCACCGCATCAGTGTGAACCCGGACTCAGTGTATTGATGCAAAGAACTGAGATACCATCACATCATTGCTACTCTCTGCATCATCTAGGACCACGCACTCCTAGATGACTGTCACTTGAATTTAGAAAAATGTCAAAAATAAAAAAGGGCCAAAACACACTACTATTAATAGTGGGGGATAGTGGTCCCCTATGTCCCTGTAGGTGAGGTAAGAGAGTTTTACCCTGTAGAACATCCGGTCAGCAAAACGAAGCATCTCAGCAAATGCATTGAGCCAACAATGCAGGAAAGCGAAGAAGGCCAGGAACAGAATCAACACACCTGAAAACAGAGGGAGCAAACTAAGAAACAGTAACTTAAACACAAACACAATGATGAAACTTAATCAATACAACCAAGAATATTGTATTCTGAAAGCTGTATATGGTTAATATTTATATTCATAGTATTTAGTATATAAATAAATTTTTTTTCCACATGTCGGTGATTTCAATTTAGGACACAATTATGACAATACCAGGGGTACTTATATCAATCACCCTGCTCTTAGCTTACTATAGTTGATTGTTGTTTTTTAGAGTATATCTAAACCCAATAACAAAAATGTAACATATCGCAGCTTGCCAGTCTTTAGATGCAATGGCTGCCCTAGTTTCCTTTTTTTCAGTCATTTCAGTACACTTCCTGCATATAAAAAAAAAAAAATATTTTCAGTTCCCGCTAATACTGCAGTGAACTAAAATCTCAAGGCTAGCATCCTTCCCAGCTCATCTTCTGTGAGCTACAGAACACCTTTCCACTCTGTAACTGAAATGAAAGTGGGAGGTGTTATTATTATTATTATTAGGTGTTCTTTAGTCCTTGGCCTAGAATGACAGTGCTGCTCTGAAGAAAACAGTTGCAGCCACCACATCTAAGCACTAGTAAGCTGCAGTGAATTACATTTATGCTTTTGGATATTGACAAAAACTTTAAACAGCACAGTATAGCAGAAAGCAATGATGTACACAATTTTGTAACTCACGGCAGTTTACTGAAGAGAGATCACAGACAGGAAAACTGATTGCTATTGGGTTACTGCACTTTACATATTTTTTTTTACTTTATTTAAAATAAGCAAGAATAATACAAGAAAATTACACAAACAATACAATTAAGTGCAAAAAATGTAAAAGGTGGCTGAAACATACCTGGCAGGATAGAGTTGAAAATACAGAGGACAAGGACCTTCAGGCTAAAAGGCTCCTGGCTCATGTTGTGGAAAAGTGGAATGCAGAGTCGGCAAAGACGTAGTAAGCATAGAAGAGGCAGCCAAGCACCTAAATAAAAAAGATGATTAAAGGCAAAGATGTCAATGACAAAACAAATTTAACTCGGATACCTGTGTGATATGTAGGTCCAGAGTGCATTTACCAAATACATACATAAAATGACTGAGTATTTCCAGCTAGCTGTAAATATTCAGTAGTACCCATTCTAAAATAAAGAGGCAGCAATTTGGGACAGCGCAGCATTGTAAAACTGAGAGCCCTATTATTGTTAGAAAGACTTGCATGCATACAGTATGTTTCTGTTTATTTCCAAACATATACTGTACATGAACACACAAACTGCGTCTTCTGGCAGCTAGTTAAAAAAAAATGCTATATTAAATAAGACGGCAATCATGTGGTGTGTGTGTGTGTGTGTGTGTATGTGTATATATATATATATATATATATATATATATATATATATATATATATATATATCAAACCCCCCCCCCCCCCAAAAAAAAAACACAGAGATGCCTATTTTAAGTTTTTAATAGAGCTGGGAAGGGTTGAAACATCAGTCCGATTCTTATTGGTGTCTCAACTAGGAAGATTTCACACTACTCTAATGATAAATGATGTCAATGAGGTCATCTGTATCTCTAAATTAGGGAGACCAAGGAGGATGCCATTATCTGCATATTAAACTTTAGCTGTCTGATCATTTTTCACAGCTATTCTTAGTGAAGGAAAGGTACCCTCTGCTTATGAATGAATTTCCTAAGATCTTCCTCATATGCTTAGTTTGAATTGCCTGGGTTTATACTGTGGCCAGTATAAACCCCAGTATCTAATTAACCCTCTTACACAAGAAAGATCATAAAACTACATCTAGAATACCTATGTCTTTAATAAACTCAATGCAAGAACAACAGTGGCTATCAAACATTATTTCTGGAATTTCATACTCACAATCAACTTTAATAAACACAGATGACAACTTGGATCAAACTCCCTTAATAAAACTAAAGAAATCACAACATTTTTCTCATGATAAAAAAGGGGAATTTAATTGGACATGGAAACCCTTTCCCAATATACTAGCAGTTATCCACTTTTGTTCTGCTGACGGTTACACTGTTGCACTACCATATGTCACTTGATTAATAACACTGCTCCTATACCGCACTAAGGATTTAAAACGAATGAACCACAATACCCAAATTTTCCCCATCAGCTGGCTCAGAAAAAAAAAAAACCTTTGAGACACATGAAAGCTGGGGGTTGAGTGATGGCTTTCCATGTAACTATACAGAAGGCAAAAAAGGAGATGAGCATTTCTTTGCCTGTGTACAGCAGAACTGAATCCAGTCACTCGGTAAAAAGTCTACTGCAAGAATACAATTCAAAGCTGGATCTGAAAGAAATATTTTAATAAAACAAAAGTTTGCACAGTCCCCAATAAAGTTAGCCTTTAAAGAGGTCCTAATCCTGTATTTTTAAATGGTTTGCGCTGCAATGTCCTTTTCCTAGAATAGCATCTGCCCATTACTTGCAGGTCAGTGAATTCTCATGACTGCGCATGGTGCCTGTGCAGGAACAGCTGAAAACTGTTCTGTTTTATCTTGGGAACTCCTGATGCCGATGGAATGACTGCTCACATCCCCCTGGCATCAAGAACTCATTCCGGCATACTACTGATACAGAGAAAAAATGCACACACCGTACAGGTGACAAACAAGTTACAGGCAATTTGTACAATGTTGTGCAGCTTTCCCAGCAAAACAAATTGTGAACTCAAGTCATTTTATTACCGCTACCATTTAATGGAAAGATATTTTTTTCCAGTTCATTTCTGATTTAATACAGAAAACCATTTACCTGAAGAAATTTGGTTGCAACATAGCCCCACCTTATGGATGGATTCCTATAATGCAAAAAGCAAAAATTAAGCTTAATACATGTATATGAACAATGCTATATACTTAGTACATAGTATAAAACCTATGTCATTGATATAAAGACACTGAATAGACAACAGTGAACATCTCAATACAAAATGGCTTGTTATTTGTAGGTAAAAGTTAGCACACAAGGGTCACCTGTGTTACTTTTAGACAAAGGTCACAGAGTGCAGAACAAAGTTGAGAAATCTACCTTGGATAGTTGTCTCTGTAGATCAGAGTCGGAGCAAACAGGAAATACAGGTATTGTGTAACTTGTGGGACTGGAGCAATAGCTAAATTGGAGAGAGAAAAAATAAATAAATTTACACAGACCCTGTACTGGTCAACCCAGGTTAGAAAAGCTGTTCTCCATACAAAGCATATAACTCAGACATGTCAAATGCCATGACTCTAAAGGCTAAATATGAATACCTGGCATTTTAGTGCGCTCATTTTGACAAACAGTGCAATGTTCTACCACAACACTAATCCCTCCATTATGCTTCCTTGCAAACTAGCGCTACCTCTACATAGAACATGTAATTTCCCACTAACCCTCCCTGCAATCCTAACCATATCACTACGCATCCCTATAACCCCAACCTTTCCAGTATCGGTTACTCCAAGGCCCCCAATCATACCAGCCTTTCCTAGTTACCCCAAGGTCCCTTTGCAATAACCCTTTGTGTAACCCTAAAACATTACTCTTCTCTGTAACCCTAACACTGACCTTTAAACCAACCCTCCCTGTATCTCTAACATGAACTCCCCCATTATCTCTCCCTGTAATCCTAGGGGTGACCAAACATTTTACAATCTGATTGTACAATCTCCTTTAGACTACCATCAACTATTTAATGCAAGGTGCTGCCTTTGATACAAACTGAATAGATTGCTGTTTGGACTGTATCCTCCTATTACATTTTTGTAATATACAATCAGAATGTATAGTGCATGGCCAGCTTAACCTATCCACAATTCCTCCCTCTAATTGTCATACTAATGCTTCCTGGTAACCCAAGGCCCTGTCTGTTGTGTACCTCCTGCGGAAGGATATCAACACCTGGAGCAGGGTAATCTAAGAAAAACATTGCACTGATTAATTCGGGGACCACACGAGACTGAAAACTGCTACAGAGCTTTGGGAATTTGTATAACAATTATAAAGCAAATGTTTAAAACTAAAATGTGAATGTTTACTACTGGATTTGTTGAACAAATGTTTGCCAAAATACTTTTTTATATTTGACTTTACTCATCAAACTCTGAAATGTTGAAAGGAAGCATCTACAATAAAGAGAGGCGTTTATGGTGACCAATCTGATTATTTCTTTAATTCCCCAGAGATATACCCTGACTGGTCACCTAGGGCAATCTTTAATCTTTTGTTTCTTTTCTTTTTAATTTTTTTTTCTTTTTTTTTGTTATCAAACTGTCAGAAAAGCAGGATAAGAAGGTCTCTAACTTTATGCCTAGTACACAAAATCAGATAATCGGACAACTTATTGTTTTATGTTCCATGCTCGCCTCATATTGAAAATGAAGAGGTTACTAAAGTTACAAAAATTCTCATACAACAGAATACAACTTCAGAAGTGATGTATTGTAATGTAGTCTTTCATTTGAGCATGCGTGGTCTTGGTCTCTTGATTTTCTCAGACGTATGCTTTACTGATTAAACAAAAATCATTCATCCTGTTATCGTACAAGAAAATCTTTCATGCTTGTTCCTTCGGATATTGTTGCATTGAACTGTCGTAATAGGCTGATGAAAGCTGTGTACTAACGATCAGACTATTGTACGATCTCTCTGAAAGCGATTTTTGTCATCTGATTTTCTGATCATGTGTTTGGGGAATTAGATGGTAGGTGAACCAAGTTTATCTTTTTACCAAGCTGCAAGAAGAGCAGGAAAATATATCCAACTGTAGACACTGGATAACTTATTACTCACATGTCTTCTCCTTGGCAAAAGAGAAGATCCGAGTGATATTTTCTCTTACGAATGAATGCGCTTTCATTATCAGCCGAATCTGAGAAGACAACATTAGAAGTAAGTTAACCTCCTAATACCTCTTTTACTGTATTAGACCTTTGAAAGAAATGTGTCATGAGAAAAATTTTCGGCAGCTACTATTGACCACTTTCTGAAAATGCTTATTGCCTGGCTGTCATGATGATGCTCTGGTTTCAATACCTTTCCCGTCAATTGTCTGAATCAAGCATGCAGATCAGGCCTCTGACTTTAGTAGCTGCTCTTTGCTATGGGTCAGTACTGAAAACCCGGCAGCTAGCTGTATGACAGACAGGCAACTAGCATTCCTACGAGGAGGTCAGCAATTCCAGCCCCCATATTACTCCTAAAGTGAGACATGAAATTGTAGTCAAAACTAGGTTACAAGAGTAAAAAATACATAGTATACATTAAAAACCTCTTCGAGGTTTACAACATGCTCTCCTGCTTCTCCGTTCACCCAATGGGAGAAAGGGAAGGAAGTCCTGGGTAAGCTGCAAGTCACTCTAGTTGGGGCTAGTAAGGACTTCTCTCCAGTTGACAACCTTGGGGCCAATCATCAAGTCCCAGTGCTGCCACATACTTGGTAATTTTTGTGCTCCAGGTGGAGAGTGAAGAAATAGTGAACATGTTCTCCTGGATGGGGGGCATTAAAGAGATTTTTTTGCATCAGCAAAAGCATAGGCTTGCTTTAACAAACATGTGAGGAGGTATAAACAGCCACAAATGATGTGTTACAAATGACAGCTACTTTATTATGCTAAAATCTGTACAATCACGGTTTAGAATAGGATAGGTAGAGAATTATAGTATAATTTTAAAAGAAACATTTGATTGTCGCACATGATTTAAGATATAGATGTATGGGCCAAAAGAAAAAACACTTTTGCTACACCTGCAGGAGGGCAAGAACAAGGGAAAAGGAAATCCACAAAAGAGAAATCTCAGTGCAAAGGACCCAAGAATCAAATAATCAATACATTAAGTTGTAGTAAACTAAATTACCTGTTCCAAAATGACAACAAACCGGGATGCTGGGGGCAAGTTGTGCTGCAGGACTATGTATGCTGGACAGAAGCCAAGACCCATCTGGAATGTCATATACAGGGATCCATAAAACAAAGTGCGGAGTTTGCGATGAGAAGAGGTCTTGTATCCCTGGGCCCACATTGAGAAAAGTACATATGGAATGATCAATGTGCTCAAGAACATGCATATCCATGTAGAGAAAACAATTGGGAATTTGCCAAAGGCGTATTCCAAGAGATCAAACTCCAGGACAAGTCTAAAAGACAAAGGCCACAAAAAAAGAATTATAACAGATTCTACAAACAGCTTCACCTAGATTGTCTAAAATCTAACAGGCGTTAGCATTTTATGTTAGAACCCAAAGTCTTCTACTCTGCCCATTCCATTCTCTCCTCCTGTCAGCACCTACGCTTACAGCGGAGTCCAGCTGGCCCCTAGTGCTGTCCATAACTCTTCCAGTGTCATTGCTGCTGTGCAGAAGATGACAGGAGGCAGAGATCAGAATAGATTGATGCTAGATATATGGAAAAATACATTTATTTTGTAAAGGAGTATACAACTGCACTAAATGGTTAATTGTGAGTCTGGCTTTAGGAATTCTATATACACATTCTATTTACTATTTTAACAGTACAAAGTCTGTATATGATATAATATCATTGCCTTTTATTAAATCCTATTGTTATCAGAATGAAAAATGAAACAGTCAAGGTCTGTCATGCTATTAATGGAAAAGGCTTGCACTTTCATAGACTGCATGAAGGACATTTGGCCAAGGCCACTGCAGAGTAACTGTGAAATCAGGCTTAGCCAGAGAAATGCGTGATAGCCCATAGAAAGAAGTCTTTTGCAAGGCAAAATCTGATTAATACACATACTGTAACTGATTTCTCTCTCAATGGTTATAAAAATGTTACAAAAAAAACAAAAGAAAAACAAAAAAAAAAAACTCCCTGACACCAATGTACTGTTAAAGGGACATTTTTGTCTGCATATTTTCTGCAAAATAAAAGTACAACATAATAAAAATAAGTTAGCACTGTGCTCTGCAATCTAATCAAATGATTTCATGTCAGAGGTTAGCAGTATCCCTGTTGTCTCAATTATCAGATCTGCTCTACTGAGTCTCCAAAAAAAAAAAGAAACCCACACAGGTGTTCAAGGGGATTGAGGGAGGGGGCTTATTTACCTATTATGCCCGTTTCTTCACTTCTTGTATTGTATATTCTCACAAGCAGAGCCCTCTTCTCCTGTACCATGTCTCATTACCAGTTTTATCTGGGGACTGTAACTTGTACCACTACATTATTAAGGCTACTTTCACACTGATCCTCTGCAAAAACATGTATGCATTTTTGCCACGTTTTGCCCACGCTTTTTCTAAACTGAGCGTTTAAAAGGTCACCTGGCTTAAAAACTGCACAAAAAACGCTTCCCAGAGGCATTTTTCAGGCATTTTCGATTGATTTCAATGGAAAGAGGCGGTTTTCGGGGCGTTTTTTTTCTAAACTGCACAAATGTGCTCCAAAGATGCTGTAAGCAGGCGTTTTTACACCGCAATAGAAGCGCAATGCCTCAGTGTGAAAAAATACATAAACATGAATAGGGAATAATTTTTCTTGAGCTTATCAGGTGCTTTTTTTAACACAAAAAGCGCTTCAAAAACTCCTCAGTGTGAAAGTAGCCTTAATGTATAGCATTGTAGAATATGTTGTTGCATTATAAATAATGGATAATTTTGTTGATAAAGAGCAAATCCAGCACTATAAACCGTCCTAAGAAAGCACATTCTTTATTAGGACACTCACCTGCCCTTGTCAATTCCATCCACTACCAGTGTGCTGAGGATGAAGAGGATGAGGAGGGCAATGAACATGTGGTAGATAGTCCGAAAATGATTGACTTCAAAGAGCTCACTACAGAAAAACAAAATAGTCAAGTGCAAATGGTTAAACCACAACAAATAATGGTATAATATACTGTATATATGTGTGTTATTTTAGTTTTTCCTACATAGAGATTTAATGATTTATTAAGCAAACAGATATAAAACATATTTGTTTACAATGCCCCTGGGCAATAACCTGCAACACAGATTATTATGTAATCCAATAGGAAGGTTATCACTTACTCTAGTAGAGAACGTCTTGACATAAACAGCTTCCCATGCTCAGGTGGGGGTCTGGCCAGTGACCTAAGGAAAAATAAGATTTTGTGTTATTACTGTTCTATGCACAGCAGCAATGCTACACAAAGTAATACAGGCTCAGAGAACATATATTATGTACAAAAAGGTTCATTATTATTACAAAAAGGACTGTATATCATTAGGCAGGTACGCACTTCATTTATAAAGGAAATCCATTAAAATTTTTACTAACCTTACTCATTTTGTTACCTGTATAAAAGACACCTGTCCACAGGAGCAATCAAACAATCAGATTCCAAACTCTCTACCATGGCAAAGACCAAAGAGATGTCCAAGGATGTCAGGGACAAGACTGTAGACCTACATAAGGCTGGACTGGGCTACAAAACTATCGCCAAGCAGCTTGGTGATAAGGTGACAACAGTTGGTGCAATCATTCGCAAATGGAAGAAACACAAAACAACTGTCAGTCTCCCTAGGTCTGGTACACCATGCAAGATCTCACCTCGTGGAGTGTCAATGATCATGAGAACAGTGAGGATTCATCCCAGAACTACACGTGAGGATCTTGTCAATGATCTCCAGGCAGCTGGGACCACAGTCATCAAGAAAACAATTGAACACACTATGCCGACAACGACTGAAATCCTGCAGTGCCTGCAAGGTCCCTCTGCTCAAGAAATCACATGTCCAGGCCCGTCTGAAGTTTGCCATTGAACATCTGAATGATGCAGAGGAGGACTGGTTGAAAGTGTTGTGGTCAAATGAGACCAAAATGGAGCTCTTTGGCATCAACTCAACTCGTCATGTTTGGAGGAGGAGGAATGCTGCCTATGACCCCAAGAACACCATCCCAACTGTCAAACATGGAGGTGGAAACATTCTGCTTTGGGGTGTTTTTTTCTGCTAAGGGGCCGGGCAACTGCACCGCATCAAAAGGACGATGGACGGGGGAATGTACCATCAAATCTTGGGTGAGAATCTTCTTCCCTCAGCCAGGGCATTGAAAATGGGTTGTGGATGGGTGTTCCAGCATGACAATGACTCAAAACACACGGCCAAGGCAACAAAGGAGTGGCTCAAGAAGAAGCACATTAAGGTCCTGGAGTGGCCTAGCCAGTCTCCAGACCTTAATCCGATTGAAAATCTGTGGAGGGAGCTGAAAGTTCGAGTTGCCAAACGTCAGCCACCAAACCTTAATGACTTGGAGGACTGCCAAGAGGAGTGGGCCAAAATCCCTCCTGAGATGTGCACAAACCTGGTGGCCAACTACAGGAAACGTCTGACCTCTGTGATTGCCAACAAAGGATTTGTCACCAAGTACTAAGTGATGTTTTGTGAAAGGGGATCAAATACTTATTTCCCTCATGAACATGCAAATCACTGCATAATTTGTCAGACATGCATTTCTTTTGAATTTTTTGCTGCTATTCTGTCTATCGTGTTACAATACACCTACTATTCGATTTTTAGAATGATCATTTCTTTGTGAGTAGGCAAACATTCAAAATCAGCAGGGGATCAAATGTTTATTTCCTTCACTGTATGTACGCATAGCATACAATCTGTGTCTTTTCCTTGGCATATCTTTTACAACGGCAACCACACATACACATATAAAACAAAGGTATTACTACAATGATATTTTTATATCACTTTATTATTGCAAATGTTCACATAAAATAGGCCTACTGCAAAAGGAAGCACTAGAGTGCCACGGGGACCTGTAGACAGAGGTCTGCCAAGACATAATTATTAACAGCAAATGAGTAGGCCAAGTTACTATACAACGAAACCCACAGTATGGGCTCATTATTCTTTACGGTAGGCACCATGTTCAAGTAAATATTGAACGATCAGAAGCAATATTTGTGTGGTTGTCATGGAGACAGAAGACCACAAACTGTACCAACAGCCGGACGGGGTCTTAAGCCCTCCCTATTTTACTAAAGCGAACTCCAAAGATGGGACAGAGACTGCACATAAAATCCCAACAGAGGTTATATCCCTTCCTTGCTCTGTACAATACAAAAAGTATTTTTTTCAGGTTACAGTAAGGCAAATATAACATTCTATCAAAGTGAGTAAAATAATGAAATCCAGTAGTTTATTCTTTATTACCTTCCTTTGTGGACATCTTTTTCGCCATTTCCAGGGTAGAAGTTAGTGGCTGCAGTGGAGGCTTCAAGAGCTGTTGACTCTTCAATCAAGTTGTTTACAAACTCATTGAAATGAATGTCCACTTCCTTCATTAACTCACTCTTTAAAAGCTATAGGGTAGAAGGAAACACTTCAAATGTACAGAGATGTATTTTTGTTTCATATATAGGAGATAATAAATATATATATATATAAAAAATAAAAAAGCTTAGTGGCCCTAAAATTGAGATTACACTTCTAAGTAGATCCTGGAGAGTCAAAATAGTTTACTGTATTTCTCGAGAACTCCTAAGATGAGGAGACCTCAATGATGAGTTTCTGGGTCTGCACATGTATCGTACCCGATATGAGCTGTTCTCCACTATCCTTGTTGGATTTTAGATTATTGAAATGCAACAGGATGTGCTAAAAAGATGGGCAAGGACACCCAAAAATTCCCAGGAACCGTTGGGTGTTATCGTAAAGGGATGTTGCTGTTAGGAACATGGAAGGCATATAGAAAAATCAAACTTAGCTTGCTATACCCCACATAGAACTGCATTATCTCCTAAATGGTGGCCCTACCCTTTAACATCTACAGTATCTCTCAGAAGTGAGTACACCCCTCACATTTTTGTAAATATTTTATTATATCTTTTCATGTGACAACAATGAAGAAATGACACTTTGCTACAATGTAATGTAGTGAGTGTACAGCTTGTATAACAGTGTCAATTTGCTATCCCTTCAAAATAACTCAACACAGCCATTAATGTCTAAACCGCTGGCAACAAACGTGAGTACACCCCTAAGTGAAAATGTCCAAATTGGGCCCAAAGTGTCAATATTTTGTGTGGCCACCATTATTTTCCAGCACTGCCTTAACCCTCTTGGGCATGGAGTTCACCAGAGCTTCACAGGTCGCCACTGGAGTCCTCTTCCACTCATCCATGATGACATCACAGAGCTGGTGGATGTTAGAGACCTTGCGCTCTTCCACATTCCATTTGAGGATGACCCACAGATGCTCAATAGGGTTTAGGTCTGGAGACATGCTTGGCCAGTCCATCACCTTTACCCTCAGCTTCTTTAGCAAGGCAGTGGTCATCTTGGAGTTGTGTTTGGGTTCGTTATGCTGGAATACTGCCCTGTGGCCCAGTCTCTGAAGGGAGGAGATCATGCTCTGCTTCAGTATGTCACAGTACATGTTGGCATTCATGGTTCTCTCAATGAACTGTAGTTCCCCAGTTCCAGCAGCACTCATGCAGACCCAGACCATGACACTCCCACCACCATGATTGACTGTAGGCAAGACGGACTTGTCTTTGTACTCCTCACTTGGTTGCTGCCACACACGCTTGACACCATCTGAACCAAATAAGTTTATCTTGGTCTCATCAGAGAACAGGACATGGGTCCTAATCCACGTCCTTAGTCTGCTTGTCTTCAGGAAACAGTTTGCGGGCTTTCTTGTGCATCATCTTTAGAAAAGACTTCCTTCTGGGACGACAGCCATGCAGACCAATTTGATGCAGTGTGTGGCATATGGTCTGAGCACTGACAGGCTGACCCCCCACCTCTTCAAAATCTGCAGCAATGCTGGCAGCACTCATACGTCTATTTCCCAAAGACAACCTCTGGATATGACGCTGAGCACTCAACTTCTTTGGTTGACCATGGCGAGGCCTGTTCTGACCGCTGTATGGTCTTGGCCACCGTGCTGCAGCTCAGTTTCAGGATCTTTGCAATCTTCTTATAGCCTATGTCATCTTTATGTAGAGCAGTGTTTCTCAACTCCAGTCCTCATGGACCCCCAACAGGTCATGTTTTCAGGATTTCCATTATTTTGCACAGGTGATTTGATCAGTTTCACTGCCTTAGTAATTACCACAGCTGTTTCATCTGAGGGAAATCCTGAAAACATGACCTTTTGATGGTCCATGAGGACTGGAGTTGAGAAACACTGATGTAGAGCAACAATTCTTTTTTTTCAGATCCTCAGAGTTCTTTGCCATGAGGCGCCATGTTGAACTTCCAGTGACCAGTATGAGAGTGAGAGTGATAACACCAAATTTAACACACCTGCTCCCCATTCACACCTGAGACCTTGTAACGATAATGAGTCACATGACACCCGGGGAGGGAAAATGGCTAATTGGGACAATTTAGACATTTTTACTTAGGGGCGTACTCACTTTTGCTGCCAGCGGTTTAGACATTAATGGCTGTGTGTTGAGATATTTTGAGGGGACAGCAAATTTACACTGTTATACAAGTTGTACACTCACTACTTTACATTGTAGCAAAGTGTCATTTCTTCATTGTTGTCACATGAAAAGATAGAATAAATATTTACAAAAATGTGAGGGGTGTACTTCTGTGAGATACTGTATGTTTATTTCTGAACTTGCACCAACAAATCGAAATATTATTTGGACAGATTGCCAATACAGACATTTTCCTTTCCTACAGATTTTATTTTGCTATTATTTTAATATTTTTCTTGATACAGGAAAAGGGTGTTGTTGGCAACTTGGTGCTGTTTTGGTGAGGTTCAGTGCATTCCCAAACATTAGTATGTACCAGCAGTCTCCACTTCAGGTATTTTTTCACCAGTGTGCAATGATACAATAGATAATGCAGCCAAGCAGTGAAGTAGCTGATACGTGGGATGTTTAGGTTCAGCAGGTAGGAAAAAGATATTTACCTCCGCCTTCCTCTTTAGATCCATTTTTTTGCTGATCCACATGTTCCAAGTCCATAAAACCTGTCAGTAAGAAATCACAAGTCAGGTCACTGTGCACTGAACACTGACAGTATGAGTGTAAACATGCATTGAGGCCAGTTTAACACTATGCAACATCTTCAGCATAGATTGCAGTGGAAGTGGGAAGAGGTACCTGACAAATTCGCTCTCCAAAAGGTGCCAATCCTTAACATGGAGCGGGGGGACTTTTTGGGTGCAGCTCCGATTTAAGGGAACCCAGAGCTGTGAAAAATATGGAAGAGACTCCTCAAAGCCCCCCTTCAGCAGAAACTGTATGACCATAGCCAAGGTGCTCCTCGCATGATCCAGTGCAACAGGAAGCCCGGATTTGTATGGATTACTAGAGTAAATAGGGTTTTAACTCCATCACCTCAAGCAACTCCATCCGCCAAATTATACACATTTTTGGGGTCTTTGGCCTAGATTCAGACCACTGCAATGTTGTTCAAGGAGAGACCTTCTTGGGAGCATACTGCTACTTAGTTGAAAATACTTCCAGACTAGTAATAGAGGCAATTAGTGCTAAAAGCACAACATTAGGCTGGAATGTTGCCATTACTGATGACAAACACCTCTTGGGCTTTCCAAGCCCTTTCTTTCCAGTCTTGTGAACTCGTATAACCCCCTTTCCACGCCAATGTCTTACACACCTAAGTGTTATTATTTAACTCCAGATTACAGAATACACTTGTAGTCACACAAATGATTCACCCTGTCTATAGAAATAGGATATTCAGTTTTCACTCCTACTGATGTGTAACTAGCATGTGAGAGTGTTGGGAAAGAAAATGTAGAGAAAATTCAGCTACCAGAGTCTCTGAGGTCAGCAGTTTCAGGTCTCGCTTCAAACAGCAACTGTCAGTCAATTTCATCCACTTTTAGATCAAATTTAGGCCTCCTTCATGTGAGTGATTATGTGCAAACACTGGCGAGAATACCTGCAGTTAGGGACAAATATTAGAGCCTAGACCCAGCCACATTCTTGCCACCACAATTATGTGTAGGTACATAATAGCCCTTAATAGGCCAAATATATATAGTAAATGGCTTGATTTATATATACTAAATCAGCCTATTGCTAGATGTTTCTAGGGAACTGTTGGCAGTTAGTTGCCTTGTTCTATTCGGTCATTCTTACACTCAAAAGCTGGATGAAACTGCCTGGAAACTACAATGTACATGGCCAGCATTAAATTTAAAGCAGTATTACACCCAAAATCAAAACCAGTAACACCCTTCCTGTATTAGGGTGCCTACACGCTGTATGAAGGAGCAACAGAGACATCTGTGGACAATGACACTGTTAATCTGGGGGGAGGGAAGTGTTAGATGCACTAGCAGATTTAAATACACTAATAAATTGAAGCCAAAGCAACATTTTTTCTTTTAGGATAAAGGTTTTACATGGATAAATAAAAGCTGATCACTGTAAGCACTTGTTGCTGTTAAATGGTTTGTCTCAGCCCTCTAACTGTTCTTATCTGCAGGACAGCTTGTTCTGCTGAAAAAGAACAGACTTACTGGCAGGATCACCAGATAAAAATAAAGGAAAGAAAGCCTTAAAAAAGAAAACTAATGCACCAGGGTGGATTTGATTTAAATCAAACTGATTTAAATCAAACTGATTTAAATCACGATTTAAATCACTAGTCAGTAAGGCTTGATTTAAATCATAGTTTTCTACAAAGACTAATTCTTGCTGGTATAAACTTTAATATGCAAGTAGATGAAGATTTTTAGAATAACAACTTTTCATATTAGTTTTTTTATCCCCAGTTTAATAGGTTAATCATTCATATTTGGACAACTTTTCTGTTGTACTTAGGAAGGAGAAAAATAATCATTACCTTAACCATTAGCCGCCCGGCCAATGGCCATTTGGCGGCTTCAAATGTGTTGCTGCATTCCAGGTGCACGCCATTTGGCGTACTCCCGCACATGCGCAGTTTTGCACTAATGCAGAGCAGCGCAGCAGCACGATCTGTCACCGGCCGTGCACCTCGGACACGGCCGATGACAGATCTGAGTACCGGCTCCCGTTGCTGGTACCATGTGACCTGCTGTGACCAATCACAGCAGGTCACATGACAGTTGTATACAATGGATGGCTTCATTCATGCCATCCATTGTATACTAGTGCCTAGCTGTGAATGGTCACAGCTAATCACATGCACATGTCATGTGATTAGCTGTGACCAAATCACATGTGATTAGCTGTGACCAAATCACAGCTAAGCACAAAAAAAAAAAAAAAAGCTGAATGAATCGATTTCATTCAGGTAAATGCTTGCTTATAGCAAAGTAATTCTTTGCTATAAGCAAATTGAGTAAAAAAAAAAAAAAAAAAATACTGATCACTTCCCCAAAGTAGTACAATGTTACTATGGTAACATTGTACTACTTTGGTCATAGTAAAATATGAAAAGAAAATCTTAAAAAAAAAAATAAAAAAAAAATGTAATAAAAAATTAAAAATAATAAAAAAATAAAAAAAATATATATATATATTTTTTTTCATACTGTCACCAGTCAGTGTCCCTGTTCACCGCCATGCCAGTTATATGATGACGCTGTACTGCACTGGTGACAGTATGTAAAAAAAAAATAGTGAAAATAATTTTTTTAATTTTTTCATTTTCCGAAAAATTAATGACAAAAAAATACAACTTCAAAAAACTCGCCATGCCTCTTATGAAGTACGTCGGACTGTCTACTCTGCAAAAAGGGGTCATTTGGGGATATCTGTACTATTCTGACATTCTTGGACCTCAAGAAATTAGATTGGCTGTCAGTACTTCAGGATTGATCAATTTTCAGATCTATACCATAGTTTGTGAACTCCATAACTTTCCTACAAACTAAAAAATACATCCTAATTTGGGTTATTTTCACCAAAGACATGTAGCAGAATACATCTCGGCCTAAATTTATGAAGAACAATCATTTATTTGTAAACTTTTATAACAGAAACAAAGAAAAATGTGGGTTTTTTTTTTTTCAAAATTTTTGGTCTTTTTTTGTTAATTTAGCAAAAAAAAAAAACCCCAGCGGTGATTAAATACCACCAAAAGAAAGCTCTAGTTGTGTGAAGAAAATGATAAAATTTTAGTTTGGGTACAGTGTTGTATGACCGCGCAATTGTCATTCAAAGTGTGAGAGCGCTGAAACCTGAAAAATGGCCTGGGCAGGAAGGGGGTAAAATTGCACGGTATTGAAATGGTTAATAACAATTTAAATAGATTTATTCAACTGAAACAATAACATTACAGCATATGTTATTTGCTTAAACAAACATCCATGTTTGTTAACTAATTTGGCTAAACAAAATATATACCATATTTGCCGGCGTATAAGACGACTGGGCGTATAAAACGACCCCCTACTTTTCCTGTTAAAATATAGGGTTTGAGCTATACTCGCCGTATAAGACTACCCCCCTTCCAACGCACACCAAATAAAAATGAAAAAACATCAGATTTGATTTCAATATGGTATGGTATTTCAGTATGGTATTCCAATGATGGGGTGGTATTCCTCCCACTGACACCAATGATGGGGCACGATTCCTCGCTCTGACACCAATGATGGGGCACTATTCCTCCCACTGATACCAATGACGGGGCACGATTCCTCGCTCTGACACCAATGATGAGGCACTATTCTTCCCACTGATACCAATGACGGGGCACTATTCCTCCCACTGACACTAATGATGGGGCACTATTTCATCCACTGACACCAATGATGGGGCACTATTCCTCCCACTGATACCAATGATGGGGCGGTATTCCTCCCACTGATACCAATGATGGGACACTATTCCTCCCACTGACACCAATGATGGTGCCCCATCATTAGTGTCAGTGTGTGAGGAATAGTGTCCCATCATTAGTGTCAGTGGGAGGAATAGTGCCCCATCATTGGTGTCAGTGGGAGGAATAGAGCCCCATCATTGTTGTCAGTGGGAGGAATAGTGCCCCATCATTGGTGTCAGTGGAAGGAATAGTGCCCCATCATTGGTGTCAGTGGGAGGAATAGCGCCCCATCATTGGTATCAGTGGGAGGAATAGCACCCCATCATTGGTATCAGTGGAAGGAATAGTGCCCCATCATTGGTGTCAGTGGCAGGAATTGCGCCCCATCATTGGTGTCAGTGGGAGGAATAGCGCCCCATCATTGGTATCAGTGGAAGGAATAGTGCCCCATCGTTGGTGTCAGTGGGGAGGAGGAATAGTGCCCCATCGTTGGTATCAGTGGGGAGGAGGAATAGTGCCCTATCGTTGGTGTCAGTGGGGGAGGAATAGTGCCCCATCATTGGTGTCAGTGGGGAGAATAGTGCCCCATCATTGGTGTCAGTGGGGAGAATAGTGCCCCATCATTGGTGTCAGTGGGGGGAGGAATAGTGCCCCATCATTGGTGTCAGTGGGGAGGAGGAATAGTGCCCCATCGTTGGTGTTAGTGGGGGAGGAATAGTGCCCCATCATTGGTGTCAGTGGGGGAGGAATAGTGCCCCATCATTGGTGTCAGTGGGGGAGGAATAGTGCCCCATCATTGGTGTCAGTGGGGGAGGAATAGTGCCCCATCATTGGTATCAGTGGGGAGAAAAGTGCCCCATCATTGGTGTCAGTGGGGGAGGAATAGTGCCCCATCATTGGTGTCAGTGTGGAGGAGGAATAGTGCTCCATCGTTAGTGTCAGTGGGGAGAGGAGCGGCTGTTCCTTCTTTCAGTTCGGCCGCTTGATTTTCGCGGGGCCGTTCGGCTCCGCCTCCTCGCCGGTGATTGGTCGCCTGTGTGCCTTTCCAGTGCTGGCTCCTAATCACCGGTGAGGAGGCGGAGCCGAGCGGGCGGCGGGACCATCAAGCGGCCGAACTGAAAGAAGGAGCAGCCGCGCTTCCTGGACCGGATCGTCGTTGGACCGGGACCGGAGCCAGGTAAGGTACAGCAGACCCTCTGCCCACCCCTGTACTTGGTGTCTGTTGGAGGAGGAGGGGGGGTGGCGCCGCCCCTCGAAAAAGTGCCGCCCTGACACCGGCT